CCCGCGGACTCCGGCCCGGCCCCAGCCCACTGCATCCCGGCCATCGCCGCGAGCCACCTACGTGTCCCAGGTCCTTAGTCTTGGAGGAGGGAGTGCTGCTGGAGGAGGCGACCGAGGCCGGGCTGGTGGGCGCTTCGCCCTTCTTGAGCCCCCGCGCCTTGTCCAGGCCGTTCTCCGGAGGGGAATGGGCCGGGCTGACGCGCGGGGTGGCGGGGTCCTCGTTGGAGACGTCCACGACCAGGTCGTCGCTTTTGTCACCGTCGCTGTCCTGAAATGCCGAGGAGTCAGGACCCCGCGGGGCCCTCGAGCCCTCAGAGCCATCAAGCTGCCGTCACCCCAGTGCATTTGAGAAACATCACCCTAAACCGGCTTGTTTCCACCCAAAGCCTCCCAAGGGCCCCGCGGGCACCTCCGTGCCCTGGCATCGAGTTTTCCAGCTCCGGAGCGCCTGCGTGACTCACATATCGGCTCATGCTGTCCTTCTCCTCCGCTTTCCGCTTCTTGGAGTCGATGCTGTAGTCCGTGGAGCTCCGGTGTTTCTCGCTGGCTCTCAGGCTTTCCGAGGGCGAGACAGAATTATTCTGGAATAATGGGAAAAAATAAATAAATAGATAGATAGATAGATAGATATATAGATAGATAGATAGATAGATAGATAGAGTTGGAAGGCAAAGCACAAAGAGAAGGAGCAGCAGTTTGCAAAGGGACAACCCGCGAGGAAGCTGCTCGCAAGGGCAGCGCATCCTGGGCAGTCACTAAGGATGCTCATCCCCATGGCAGCCTCCCCTGGAGCCCGGCCTCCACCAGCGAGGCTCCGCTTCCCAGGAAGGCTTCGGGAGCCGGGACATCCTGCCCGGACCACGTGGGCAGCCGCGCTCGGCCGTGCCAAAGGGCTTCCACAGGCCGCAGAACCGAAAGCCGCCGGGAAGGACCCTGGGGAAGGAGGCGGTTCCGCGTCCTTCCGCAAGCCCAGCCGAGGCTCCCCCGGTGGCGGCTTTCCCGGGAAGCTCTTCCCTGCGTGCCAAAGGCGGCTCGGAGCGAAGATGGCAGCACGGAGCTGGGAACACCCCGGCGCGTTGGGCCCGGCTCCAGCCGTCCCTCCCCAAGCCCCTCAATTAGCCTGCGAGCGGCAGCACAAAAATCGCCGCCGTTTCACGTCTCGGAGCAGAGGCTGCCGCCCCCGCTAAGCAGAAACCTTCCTAAGCTCCTCGGCCTCCCTTTCTTTCCCCGCTGAAAAGGAGAACTAAAGCAGTTCATGTTTCTCCTCGGTACCCGGTAAGCAGCTTTGGATAACACCGGGGCCTTTCTTCTCGGGCAGTCATGCTGAAAACCCTCGCAGCTCCCGCAGAATCATGTCAGGCATTTAGAGGCATCGATCCATTCAGGCTGCCGCTGGCCCGCCGCCAAGCAGCTAAATATTTTTTATTGCCCAGGCAAGGCTCGGAAAATATGAATGACTAACTCTGATTACCGCGCGCATTAAACCTCCGCGGGGAATGGGCGGCGTTGGGGCTTACGGCTCGGGAACGCTCCCGTCCTTCCCACCCGCTCCTGCGGCGCGCGGGGCCGGGATGCTCTGCGGTTCCCTGTCCGGGACATTGCGTTATCCGGATGCGTTTGGTACCCGGAGGCCCCGTTGTGGTCCGGGTTGCGCGGATGCAGCGGGGCTTTGCGAGGTGGGAGCTCAGGGGAGCTCTGTGCAGCCCCTTTCCTTGCTAATCCCCACTCGTGCACCGAGACGCTCCGTTAACCGCTCGACCTTCCGAGTGCCGCTTAGCGCAGTCTAATAGCCCGGCCCGTCCCCGCAGATTAGGTGACCCGAGGAAACGGAGCAGCGAGCAGCAATGAAACAGCTTCCTAATTGACAAAGGAGGTGGGGTTTCTTTATCCGCGCGCTCCGTCACGGAGCCGATCCAGGGAATGCGCCTCTCGACCGGGAAGGCTCCGGCCAAACACCGGCACCGATGCGGAGCTGGCTCCAGCCCCGGCCTCGCGCCCCGGCCCATGCAGCCCTCCATCCTTGCTGCTTTTCACATGCAAAAAGCACCACAAGAGTCTGGTTTTTAAAACGCTGCATAAAGCAGAAGCATGCGGCAATAGGAAAGGAAAATAATGGAGGGAAAAGAGCAAAGGGAAAAAGGAGGTCACTGGACTTACTGCACTCGAGTCCCGCTCTGAGAGGCGGCCGGCGTCGCAGGCGAGTCCCAGCCAACGCAAGGAGACAGAAAACGCAGCAAGTCAGAACAAATCTCAGCAAACAAGACAAACCCAGCGGCTCCCGGTGTCTCTGGTCCTAACCAGGACCTACCTGCTCCCTCCTCGGCTGCATTTTAAAACCAGTCCCCACCTTGTGCTCCCACTCCCTCCTCCCGCAGACGTTTCCTCTGCCCGGGTGATTTACGTGGCAAAACCTCCCGCGCTGAAGTGCGAGAGGAAACGGCATCGACCGCAGCATCGATGCGCGAGCCGGGAGGGCACGTCGGCCGCGTTAGCAGGATGTGGCGAGTCATTAATTTATACCTCAATAGCCCCATTTTCCCTGGGATCTCCTGGTAATTTAAGTCCATGCAGAAAAATTAATGTAATTGGATAATTGCTTCCAATACGTTTTTCTCACTCTGTCATGGGGGAGAACAAAAACCCAAAAGCAGCAGAACCCAACAGGCTGCCTGACGTGGTAAGGCAACCACCCTGTCTATGGGCACGTGAAGGGGAAAGATCTCAGGTCTTGGTCTGTAAATGGACAAGGGAACTTGCAAGGAAATTCTTCAGCACTGTGGATTTGCTAACAAGAATTGCTCATTTCTGATAAAGAGATTAAGCAGCAAGCGTGCAAGGCAGAGCCCCTGGGGCTGGAGAGGGGAGGGCAGGAGGGCACTGCAGAGCATCGCGCCTCACAACCCCTCTGTTTATTTGGGGATGGGGTTTTTTGCTGGGGTCAGTTGGTTTCTTAGGGCACCCACGGACACTCCACGCGCTCCAGAGGCAGATCCACAGGGAGCCTCCACCAAGGAGATGAACCCAGCGCGGACAGGCACAAACGGAGCGGGCGCAGCTCCGTGTGCAGGGGTCCCTTTGGGGCTTTTGGGGTGTTTCCCTTGCGCTCGCTCACCTCGGTGGTCCAGGTCGTGGTGGTTCTTCTCGTCCTTGACGGCGAGGTGCGCCTGGCTGCCCAG